CCGCGCTTGTGCCATGCCTTGGAGAAGAGCCAGGGGCAGGATCAAAATTGGTGGGAGACGAAAGCAAAGTGTGAAGTGTCGGTGGCGCGTTTCCCAAGGCCAGCCTCTGGAGGAAGTCGGGAGCGGAAATGGTCGACAGAGTCAATACCGAGGGAGCTCAGGGTGGTGGGGTTTTTTTCCCAGGTTGCAGACAAAGAGCAGCAGATAAGCGCCGGTGCGCTTATCTCTTTGTTGTTTTGCTGGCTCGCACTGCTGCTGTTAATCTGATGAAGCAAAGCATCGCGGAGGGAATTACTCAGGGGGCAGAAAGCTCAGCCGTGGGTCCCCACGGACTCCCTTCTCCCAGGAGCCAGGCAGGGATGCGCGAGGGTAGATGGGGGCTGGATGGACAGAGGGATCTCGAGCAGGGAGGGAGCTTGCAAGTAGGTGCTTCGCCGCCTTTCCTCGTCCGGGAGCTCAGTTGTTGCCTGTTGAGTCACCGGAGGAAAATGTGACTTCATCCAGTCACACCTCCAGCTGGCTTCCTCCACCAGCCCGCAGGCATCTTTCCTTTCCTGGATCCCACCCAGTAGGTGCTGGGGGCAGCTGAAGGAGGGGGATGAGAGCCCCAAGGCTTCGTGAAAGACCCTCACTTCCCCAAAACCAAGCCGAAAACCCCAGCTCTGCTCTCCCAGGGAGGCAGTCCTGCGAAATGCCCTGCAGAAGGGTGACCGGAGCATCCCTTTCCTAGTTCCTCTCCCCGCGGGGCCTTGCCATCCTTGCCCTGGGGCTACGCTGTTCTTCTCACCCCACCTACAACACCAGCGGGAGCATCCATCCCGTGAGCTGACTTGCTGCAGCAGACTGGAATGATTTGGCATCGCCATCGCTGACTGTGTCCTTCCTTCTTGCTGTGGCAGGTCAAGTGAACTTGCTAGTAGCGGCAGATACCCACCCGAGCAGCTTTGCATGGGAACAAAACCCCCACCACCGCCCCAAAGAAAAAGCCCCTTTGCTGGCTTTGACTCAGCTGGGAAATCTGCAAAGCATTTTGTCATCTCGACAGTGGGAATTGTAGCCGTCCCTGCTGAAATGAAAAACGTTTCCAGCCTGAGGGATGGGAAAAGGCAGGGAGCAGTGCCAGGGGAGTTCCCGCAGGCTGTGTGTGCTGCCTTCCGGCGTGTCTCAGTTTAATGCTCGTCAGAATTATTCCGCCTTGCTTTGAGATGTGCAGAGTAAGAGCAGAGCGATGGCCGGCCGCTGCCTGCTGTCGGCAC